TTTTTTTTTTTTTTTTGCATAGTAGAGGGAAAATTGCACCTTTTGTTACCAATATTTGTTTTAGAAGTTTGGGGTCGCATTGCCCCTCCATACCATCTCTTCACACAGTCTGGGTAAAGGATATAACTTTATTTAGAAAAGCTGAAACAGACTTACGCTGAGTTAACTGAGGTGGAGAGAGATGGGTTGATAGAGTGAAATCCACTGGTAGCCTTTCCTTGACTCAAAAAGGAAGACGCCTATTTGATTTGTTCAGGGCTGATTTTAATTCCTTTGATTTATTTGCCAGCCTATGAAAGAGACAACCCCCACCAAGATGAAGCAGAAGGAGACCCAGGAAACAGACATGAGCCTGGCGAACCAGGGCCCCCCGAAGCTGATCCTGAGTCTGAGGCAGACGTGAGTGAGCTTGCCTCTGGTCCTGACACTTGCAAATTCCGGAGGAGGAGGAGGGCAACTTGAAAGTTTGGCTCACCCAGCCTTGGGCCCCAGAAATGTCTGTTATTTCATCAGCACAGACGGAAGGGGGTTTGCATAGTTACAAGCAGTGTAGTTATACTTGCACAGTTACATACAGGGGCTTGCATAGTTAGACGGAAGGGGGCTTGCATAGTTACATACAGGGGCTTGCATAGTTAGACGGAAGGGGGCTTGCAGAGTTACATACAGGGGCTTGCATAGTTAGACGGAAGGGGGCTTGCAGAGTTACAGGCAGTGTAGTTACACTTGCACAGTTACATACAGGGGCTTGCATAGTTAGATGGAAGGGGCTTGCATAGTTACATACGAGCAGTGTTTCTGACTGTGAGCCGTGGTGTATGTGTGCGAACAGGCAGAGGAAATGTTGCTCTGAGAAACAGAATCCCAGGATTTTTTATCTGGGAATTTTTTGGTTAATAAGTTGAAAACCTAGAAAAGCAAATTCAAGAGGCGTTGAAATACGTGGAAACTCTGAAAGGTGGAAGTTGCAGGGGCAGGGCGTGAAAGGCAAGTGTGGAAGTGGAAGAGGGGACCAGGCAAAGGAAACTCAGCTTCCAAAGCATGCTGAGCACTCTGCTAGGGCTGAAGGGGTGGTGTGTGACCTGTCATCTCCCAGCTATCCAGTGATGGTCTTTAAAATGAGTAGACCGTCTGTAGTCGACTGTCCAAGGGACTGTAACAAAGTGGCCAACATAAGGATATGGCCAAGATAAGGAACTAGGCCTTATAGGTCCAGTCTATGAAAATCAGATCAATTTAAGGGGGTGGTCAGCTACGGAGGTTCTACTGAGTATGAATAAGGATACATGGTTCAGAATATAAAAAGAGTTTCTCAGGTTTCATGAGATAGAAATTTTACATTATACATAAGTAGACACTTAATAACCAGCACTGTTGTTTGTAATTACCAAAAAAGAACAGCCACTCCAGTCCAGCTGTGTGGTCCAGCCTTGGCCCTACCTGCCAGTGAGGCGTGCAGATGTTGAGTGAGTCTGTTCTTGTGTGTAGAAACTCTTACCACTTACTTCAGCTCTTCTGTCATTTACCAGTAAATCAACTACACTGTTAAAGACATTCAGTCTGCGTTATCATGCAGGCCCCGTTTATATTGAGCCAGTGGATTAATATCCACTGAGTTATCATCCACAGAGATTTCCTGCTAGCCCCTTACAGCCCCTGTGAGGACAGTGGCGTTTCTGCTTAACTTGCACTGAGGTTTGCCAGAACCCCTTTCCCTCCGTCCTCTGCTTCAGCATTTTGGGAAGTATGGTCCAGGGAACCCAGCCCTGGAATATTTTCAGGAAAGAGCAGGAACTTGAGAGCAGGTGTGTATGAGACCGAGAAGATACATGTGCAGCAACCCGTGAGTGTACATGAGAGGGACCGGGGACTTCTGTGGACTTCGATTATTGTTGACCCTTTATTTTCCGATCATCTGTTTATTTGTTCTGGGGAACATGTGGGGAACACTGACATTTCTGCCCTGCCTTCTTTTAATTAGAAATTGTTAACCCCACTTGCCCTCTGTTGGTCTTATCTAAGGTTATGTGACTGTAACAACCGTGCCTGTTAAGTCGACCTTATCACACAGTCGGAGTTGGGCTTGTGTCTACATTTTTATGAACTTTTTAAAAAGATATTTGGTACTTTTTAAAAAGGAAATATGTTACTGTATCCTGTATTTCTATACAAATTATTGATAATGCACCAAAGAAAATTCATTATGACAAGAGATGGTGGAGGAATTAAAGTTCAGAGTGAGGTTGATGATTTGTCCCCTCCACATGCCCAGAGAGATGGTGGAGGAATTAAAGTTCAGAGTGAGGGTGATGATTTGTCCCCTCCACATGCCCAGGGAAGGCGTCATCCACACTTGGATAAAATGCGTGGCCGGGGACCTGCACACTGTGTAGAGGAGCTGAGACTATCTGAGCTCCTGAACATGATCAAGGTTCTTAAGTGAACTGAAGTGGAGTCTCATCTGAGGAATCCTGATAGAGACCGAATCCCGCTCTGTGGCTTCAGCATCTCCTGAAGCATTCACGGCTTTAGCAAGTGGCCTGCTGTGACCTGGGAGTGACTAGGGAAGCTCGTGACAAGCGTCACCGGTTCCTGTGCAGCTCAGACTGTGAAGTCTGAATCTCTGTCAGGACGTGTATTATTTGAAAAACGCTTTGGGAGCTTAAGTGGAAAATTGAAATAAGTCTCAAGTTGATAATGTGTGAAGGGCATTTGTTGAACACAGTAACCGAGAACTACCTGGGAGTGTCCCCAAAACAGGGTAGCTCAGATCTTTTGTCTGCCATCCCTGGCCAGTCCAAGGTCTCTCGGATTTGTGTGGTGTTTGCTGATCAACAATGTGATCCATATTGGAAACTGACCGTTTATGTTTGAGTTGGCCGTTTCCTTGTCTCCTTTTCAGATCTTCGTGAGCTGTTTCTCTTGTGGGCCTCCTTTTCTTTCAGCTACTTTTCACCTGCTTACATGTTAAACATTGCTTGAACTTGGAAGTTTGTCTGTATGAAAATCATCGTAGGAGTGAAAGGAGTTAGTATCTGCCCATCTAAATTTCCCACCTAAATTACTATTGATTTTTTTTTTTTATTTTTTGCCTACGTGGTCCTCTGACTTTTACTAGGTATTTTTTCTTGTTGTCTATTAAGTCATGTCCACATTACTTGTGTCGGTAGAGTTCTGAGGACTTCTTTGGAGTCCCTTGCAGAAAAGAAGGTGCTATTTGCACTTCATTCTGATTAATGAGCCTCTGACCTGGAAAGCGGGAGTTGTCTCATTGGACAGTTAGAACATACAACATCAGACAGTGTGATATCTGATGCCTGTGAGTCTTGGCAAGGATGGATCTGGACAGGCTGGTGAAGGGCGATTTCATTTTCTGCCTGTGTGTGGCCTTTCAAACAGAATGAAACTTGAAGTGGTGGTTCCTTTCTTTAAACTTTTACAGAGGGCAGCTGTGGAGGATATAAACCCAGCAGATGACCCTAATAATCAAGGTGAGGATGAGTTTGAGGAAGCTGAGCAAGTGAGAGAAGACAATTTGCCAGATGAAAATGAAGAGCAAAAGCCAAGTCATCACAAGCAAGAGGACACAGAAATGGGGGAACATTTGGTGGTAAGCAGGTGCCACTGGGAAGGGGGCTTTAACCGGGGTATTGTAATAAATGCCTGAATTTGGTGGTGAGCCGGTGCCACTGGGAAGGGGGCTGTAACCAGGGTATTGTAATAAATGCCTGAATTTGGTG